GGCAGCTCTGGTTGGCGTCATGCATGCTTCTATAACCTTTCATGCGCTGCGTATCGCTGGCTGCTACCGCCGATCGCTGAAGTGCGGGTCTTGTAGGTACGACTGTCACTTCAAGACACTTTGGAATTCTTCGAAGGTTTGGCATCTTGTCTATGCCTTGTTATCGGCCGGGCGAACAGTGCTGTCTGCGACAGCGTTGATAACCTTCACGCTCTACATCTTCGCCTGTGTTGCAGTGGAGATCATCACCAAGGCAGGGCCAAAGACATCTCAGGTCACGATATCCACTGGATGACATGATGCGGCTTGTGGCTTTGTTGAGTTTGTGCTCAGGATGATGTCATCCTCGGAGATCCGGAGACGTACGAGACGCTGGCCTACCTATCTTGCCATCTCATTCATCGCGTTTAGCTCGTTCATCCTACCACCACAAAGGCTAGCAAGACACGCGTTCATCGATCTACACCGCGCAACACACAGCAGAAGAAAGCCAATCTTTGCAGACCACAACCACGGCCGAGTTTGAATTGGGCAGTGCAAGTTTGATGTGCTGCTCTCTTTCTCTGTCACGCGATTGGTGTCATTCACACGACGTGGCCATAAATTCCCAGCTCTTCTGGTTTAATTGCTTTCCCTCCCCAACCCTTGCAAGGGTTTCCATTTGGTGAGTAGTGAGTTGAAGGGAGCAGCTTCTGAGACCTCAGCAAATTAAAGCTTGAGATGTCATGCTTGGATTTAAGGATTGTTTCAACGTACTTCAACAGCCTGCCAAGAGCGAGCTTGACGCTGTTGCAGTTCGTGACCCTGGACTCTGTTGCAGCAGTGTATTCACCACTGATTATGGCACGGCCGTACCTCGGAGAACCCTGGCCCGAATTCATAAAGTGTACATGCATGATGAACACGCGCGTGGTGGATGACACTTGGTTGCTTGCTTGGCGCTTGCACATGTTGAGAAACAGTCTTGTGCCCACGGGCCTATATGTAGGGCACAAGCGTCCTTTGCTGAGTTCTATTTTGCATCCATCTTGATCTTCGTGTCCATCGGGCTCATGAATCTCATAACTGCGGTGATCATCGAAGGCGCGTCAGATACTGAGTGGCCAAGGATGACTGTTCTTTCTTTTTTGGGGGGTTTTTGGCTCCGTTCTGGCCATGGGCTCTTGGCGTCTTGCCCTCGCATTTTTTCTGACGCTGTGCATAAGTCTTCAGGAAAAGTCGCATTCGGCTTCTGCACGGTAGCCCTAAATTTACCAATGGACTGGGCGCGGTTGCAAAAGGTGGATGAGCATAGAAGAAACCTTCGTGACTAAGTAAGTAACTAAGGGCTTGCAAGAAACAGTTTTCAGAGTCTAGGATGAGGCCATACTTTGACACCCAGCATGCGGGTGAGAAACAGATGTTCCGCCGGCAAGAAGGAAACCGCCGTCGTCTTGGGGTTGGGGCCAGTGATGACCTGCAGAGTACTCCCAAGAGACGCAGATAGCTGACAAGCCAACTCGCATCACAAGCAGCACACGACCCTTGCACTTCAGACAGCAACACGAAGGAGGAGAGAAGAAACCAGACTGGAACCGGAGAAAGGAAGAGCAAGAAGAAGCGCCCAGTGCGCGGCGTGGGGTGCGCCCCTTAAGCCCCGCAGAAGAAGAAGAAGAAGAAGAAGAAGAAGAAGAAGAGAGCGAGAGCCCCCTGTGCACTGCAAATCCTTGCCACTTGGAGCGAGATAGATTTAAGGAATATTCCTCAGTTAAGGGGTATTGGGCTCTTTGGGCCTGGCCTTGACTCTGACACGCAGGGTTGCCTCTCACTCGGCTCCTTTGTCTTCAACCGCCTCCATCGCACGGTTCGTACGGAAGAGGAAGCGAACTAGCGGGCCTACAGGGGTTGTCCAAAACTGCGCCTTGCAACGAGAAACCTGTCAGGCCTGGCCCTTGGGTCGTCCGAGCACACCTCGATCACGAGATAGGGGCCATATGACCCAATCAAATCAACTGGCCTTAGGGCAACGCTACACTCCCACGCCATCTACATGGGAAAGAGGGAAGGGAAAGACCAGAGCAGCGAACGCTACCATCAACATTCACCTACCTTATAATGTTTGGGATGATGGATGGGATGAACCGAGTGATGAACCGTGTGGTCGTGTCGTTGGCCTGACGTTTCGTCTTGCTTTTTCTTCAAGGTTTCACGTGGTCTTAGTCGTGGCTCAAAAACGCTTTCGGGACAACCGTTCTTTAGTTGTTTTTCTGCTGTCGTCCTGCAGGGGCCATGGAGTCATCAGCAGAGAAGCGCGAAGAGGAAAGAATGGAGATGAAGGAGATTCTTGGCAGACAGGTTCAGCAAAGCTCAGTTTGCAAGACCTATGTTCCGCATTGTGTTCTCGCCGTGCAACTTTGACTCGCGCAGTCATGTGCCTAGCTGCGATACAAAACAGGCGTCTGTGAAGAAAACAGCCTTTGTGGCCCTTAACAGCCTGATGTGCAGATGCACAAATATAAGCTCCAGATCCACCCTGAAGTACTCCCACATGCATCATTACCCTAAACCTTGAACCCTGAACCCTAAACCCTAAACCCTAAACCCTAAACCCTAAACCCTAAACCCTAAACCCTAAACCCTAAACCCTAAACCCTGCGCCTCAGCGTTTTCCACCGACAGCCCAGGAAGATCCGGCAATCCTTGCCGGGACTATTGGACACTTTCTTCACGTTGGACACAGAACGAAACGGCCGTGCCGTGGCTGCATGTGGGCGTAGGGTTTTAGGGTTTAGGGTTTAGGGTTTCGGGTTTAGGGTTTCGGGTTTAGGGTTTAGGGTTTAGGGTTTAGGGTTTAGGGTTTAGGGGTTCAACACACATCGCCCATCATCGCCCCCTTTGCCTCCCTGGCCCAAGGGATCAGCAGAGAGCAGCTGCAACACAACGCTTTGGACCTACTGCCGCAAGCTTTGCTCGACAACTTGCCCATCGCCGCCCGCATGCAAACACAGTCAAGTACTCCATATCCCCCCCTGGGAATTATTTTTTTAGTTTTGTTCATATAAAACCCAGGAGGATATGAAAAATGTTATTCTTTATTAAGGTTCTAAGGGGAGGATAGTACTTGTCTACATTGATATCCTTGGCCCTCACAACATGTGACATCTGGTTCTCGTCGTCGCATTGGGGACAGGCTCAACTTTGCGCAGCCTCCCCCCGAAACCCTAAGCCCTACTACTCAACCCTAAATCCTAAACCCTAAACCCTACACCCCCTTTGCCAGGATGATGTTGTCGACCTCTTCGACATCTTGGATGTGGACGAGAACAACTACATCACTCAAGCTGAGTTTGTGGAGGGCTTGCTGAGACTTCTCAGAGACATCTCAAGGGCCATGTACCGTATTACTCTGGTTATAATTATGATCATTTTTACTATGATTATTTCTATTTTTGTTTAGTATTATTGAAGCTTCTAGATTTTGCAGGCATTTGCAAATGGCCTTGTGATGTGTTTTGACGGCTTTTGCTGAGGAACATCGCACTGCTTGACACACCTCTCTGGAACATCCAAGCCTTGAAGTTACTCCGAAGAGTCGCCCATCTCACATCGCAGATCCATGCGCTCAGCTATAGGTTGAGCACGGCACCGGAAGATGACTGTGCCGAGCGCAAGACTTCTACAAGCCTCTGAGGGAACTGTAGCCCACAATAAGAACCATGAAGAACCCAAAACGGGGGGTTCCTCCAACGCTTCAAGCTTAAAAGGCTGTTGCACTTCTGTCAGCTGTCTAAATAGGACACTGAGCAGTTGACACCAAGACGCACAAAGCTTGTGCAGGTGTGCTTGCGTAGTGAAAAGCTCTGCGAGCAAGCGGAATGCGAGTTTGAAAAGAAGGGCATTTTCGCTCGCTCGTGTTGTCATGAATGGTTGCTTTGTCGCCGTCACCAACTGCTCGACCTAATGATCAGGCTCCCATGGCATGCACAGCACCCACATCAATCCTCACATTCTTCTAGGACAGTGCTTTGATCACGCCCACAATATGGCAGCACCGCATGGGCTAGACATTGGCAGGCTGCTTTCAGGCTTTGTAGTTGGTACGAGGCGCTTGGGGTGGGCAAGGTGTGTGAGGTTGTGTGCACCATTGCGCACACCATGGCGGGTGATGAGGGTGTCGAGTTGACGGCAGAGGCGGCGGGATCGTCGGAGCACGTCGGAGCAGTCGGAGCAGTCGGAGCTGTGTCATTGAGTATTCCAATGACATCCCATGGCTTTTGTCGAGATTTGTCGAGGCTCCATAAAGCCGTGGCAACGGTATCTTTCGAATTTGACAGGCGATGCAGCTTTCCGATGTCAGTAAAACTGTGGCTGGAGGAGGCCTCTTGCCGCCTTGCACGTCTTGTGCCCCGTCAGAGACCAAACATGACAAAACATGACAAAACCAGCTGTTCTCCGCAAAACACCGAGTACTTTGCGTCGCAGCAGCCCTCGCGGATCTGTTCGATCTGAAACATTAAGTACCCTGAACCCTAAACCCACATACTCAGAGCCAGACCAGGTCTGGGGGGCTAAACTGCTCGACATCCCTGGGTAACGCATGCGCTAGCGCACGTAAAGCCAACCATCTCTTCGTGCTGGCAGGCTTTGTGTACTCACGCTTGGATTGTCGAATCCTGAGCACGTTTAGCGCAACAACTGATGACAACGGCGGAAGTCTGAATGGAAGGACCCTTGATGGGCCCCGAGGTATTGGCAAGCAGATTGGTGGTCTTGGCCTCCTTGCCGAGCTCAGACCTCAAGTGCTGATGAGCCTGAGTCAAAGAGTTGCCGGGGACCGGGGAGTTTCTGTATTCACGAGGTACCCCTTCCTCCGACATCTGGACCTGTCGCAGAACTGCATTAAGGACCATCGGTGGCTGATGCATCCATTCCTAAGCCTCTCTACCCCCCCACGACTCAACAGCATGCCATCAGCCTACAGGACGTGGCTCCTGTCGGCAAGCTGCAACATGTGCTTTCGCTGAACCTGTCGTGCTTCTGCCGCTGTTAGATTGCTCACTCGACTGACTCTTGCTCGAGAGAGAGATAGAGAGAAAGAGGGAGAGAAAGATAAAGACAAAGAAAAAGAGAATGAGAGAGAGAGAGAGAGAGTTGAGGTCACTGTAATGTATGTGCTGGGGCATGAGCATGGGTGGCATGTGGGGGTCAACAGAGCCCCGCGACCTGGCCCCCACTCAGTCTCAAGGAGCGGCCCCGAATTCAGGGGCGGGCGAGGCCAAGCCCCAAGAAGGAAAGAAAGAAAAAAGACAGAGAGAGAGAGACACCACACCAACCACACAGAGTATAGGGGAGGGCACTCCAATGTGAAGTAACTCCAACCTGTGTGGTCAGTTTCACGTCCGACTGGATTGCTTGAGCACGTCCCTTGGGACGACCCCCTCGGGGGTATGTGCTGTGGAAGGAAGGAAGGAAGAGAGAGTTGATGTCAAGCGGCAGACCGGACACAGATACGGGTTTTCGTAATAGACATGCCGTCTACCAGACGTACCGATGGTGACCCAGTTCTAGGTGGCAGCTGCTGTTGGGGTCTGCGTTGCTGTAATGCTTGAAAACTTACAGGAGGTCATGCGCAGAGCCACTCGCAAAGCGAGAAACCGGAACCGGATGCCCACAACCGTTAACCGTGTGCAGGGGTTCAAGGCGCCCCTCTTCTCCACCGATTGGTTCCGGTCGCACCGACAACTCTGTCGCAAAGAAAGAAAGAAGGGTTTAGGGTTTAGGGTACGCCCCCTCCCCCCGCCCAGAAATACCATCGGGGCCAAGCGTGGGAAGAATCAGCCATCGGGGTCTGGCCAACCCGATCGACCCGCATCTCCTGTGAGGCTCTGCCCTCCCCCCCCCCCCCCCTCTGGGGCATCTCCATGTTTACTACGTCTTCAAGACTGACGTTTTCTTGTCTCCTTTGCGTGGACCGAGAATGAGGGCGCGCAGCTGCGCACGGGGGCAGAGGGTACCACGCACCCCCTTCATCTCCTACTGCGGCAGAAGAGTTGAGTCGTCACACTTGTGCGTGGCAACTTAAACAAGCACTTTGGATCCCCCACACCTGCCACTCGTGCCCATGCAACGCCTGGCTAGCCGTTCGATGTTTGATACCGTATGATGTGAGTAGCTGATGTTGGCGTCGGTGGCAGGTCCAATGCCATCTCAAAGTTGGACTGGACACCACAGGCCGGGGGCATCTCAGAAAAGAAGGAGGTGTCATAGCAAGCGTGGTCAGGAGCTACCGCACCTGCTGTTCCTGGACATGAGCAGCAATCAGCTGGCAGAACTGCCGCAGTTCCACCCTTGGTTTTGCTTTGACTGTTGGGGCTGCGAGATCATGATCGCAATGAAGATGAAGTGAGGCTGCACATGCCGGCGCTGAGGCCTGGAAAGCGTCATCGATTTTTCATGTACAGCTTCATGTGGTTCATAAGAGTTCAATGGTACGATATTGGGATGTTCCCCGACTGTCAGTCATCAGGGATTGCAACAGGGGAAACAACCCTAAACTACCCTAAACCCTAAGGGTACTTCGATTTGAACGAACGGGCGAGTCAGGCGTTGCGATTTTCGTTTCAATCGTATCTCCACGCGGTTGCCTCAGGTGGTTGGCTGCTTGCTCTGAATGTGCTGAGCGAGTGGAAATGTTGCAGTCTAACCATGGTTTTTGCCCGACAATTCCAGGCTGAGTGATGCTGGGCATATCCTGCTGTGATACTTGACCCTAGAGAGTGTCAGTTCCAAGCCCGAAACCCTGCCTCCGACTGATGAGAACCCTGGCCTCTTACATTTCTGGTTTCCCTTTTTCGGTTCTATTCTAGAAGCCCTCAAAGCCGTAGAGGCTCAGAGGGGCCCTCCATCCAACACCGTGCATCACTAGGGGGGGGCGAGCAGCAGGGTAAGCGTACCAAGGTGTGCCGACTTTCAGGGACACTCGACCCTGCAGACACTGCGGCTTTCATCGAACCAGCTGGCTTCTGCCCGGGGCCTTGCAAGTTTTCGAGACCCAGCGCATCATGGTTACTCATGGCCTCATAACCTCGGAGCCGATCGAAAGCATCTGAGGCTGCTGGATTGAACAAAAGCCCCAAGCTTGAGGTGCTGGAGGCCTGGCATGCCCCCATTTCCAGTCGGCTTGTTTCACTAGGCTTTCTATGCTCAATTTTAGGGTTTAGGGTTTAGGGTTGACAACTAAGCGTAGCCGTGGCAGAGCATACTCTACTGTTCTCAGTGCTGCTGTTGGTGCCAGTTGAGCGAAAACATGCTCGCCGACCTCAACGACGTCTACAGGCATGGCAGATGGAGCACATCATCACACAAAGGGCCTACACTGGCTGTATTCAGGTTGAGATGTGAACCCTAAACCCTTAAACCTCAAAGCCTAAGCACCTGCGGAAGGCTTCCGTGCTTGTCCACCTTGGACATCTCCAAGAACAAGTTTGAATCTCTAGTTGCTCCCTGGCATGAGATGGTATCCCTGACACGTCATTCCACACATCCCACACATGGTCAGTTCTCAGAATTATGGTCCCCTTCTCAGTGCTAAATATATTAGGGGCCGCCTGGTAATACTAACTTCGAAGGGACAAGAATCCAGAGAGATGACCATGTCAATACAGCTGCTTTTGTATGCCTGCAAGACAAAGAGCTCTCCCCCGGCCGTCCGTCTGGGCAGCTTTTCCTTCTTACCCCCCCCTTGCTCGGAACTGCATCGCACTGCCATCTGTTCTGCTCTCAGAAACCCAAAGAGCCCTCAATACCCCCCTTAATTAAGGAGTATTCCCTAAATCATAACAAGGATCCCTTCTGATCCCTTCATAATTTAAGCTATATACCTTAAATTAAGGGGTACTGGGGCTCTCTGGGAATCTCCGCAGCATTTCTGAGTGCCAGGCAGCTTTGAAGGCCCTGGACGTGGCCGGCAATGCCTTCGCGCAGGTGGAGTCCTTGAAGCCCCTGGAGGTGATGGCAAGCCTGAGGAGAGAGGGCTTAGGGTTCAGGGTTTAGGGTTTAGGGTTTAGGGTTTAGGGTTTAGGGTTAGGGTTTAGGGTATAGGGCTTAGGGTAAGACCAGCCTGGACCCAAAGTGCTTTTCGTCTTTTGGAAAACCGCAAAGATGACTTCTTTTGACTACGTGAAACTGCCGTCTTGGCATGAGACAAGCATCCAACAGTCCCAGACAGGCGTGGGCACAATTGAGAACCCTAAACCCGAAACCCTAAACCCGAGACAAGAAGTTCCAGACATGTATCTCAGCATCCAGGATCCGGTCGCTTGGTTTTTTTTGGGGGGGGCGGTGGGGTGTGGGGGGGGTTGGGGGGGTGGAGAGGGTTGGTGGGTGGGGGGGGGGTTGGGGGGGGGGGGGGAGGGGGGTTGGGGGTTGGTGGGGGGTGGGGGGTGGGGGGGCTGTCGGCATGTAATGTGGGGTAAAAAGCTGTTCTTCTTTCTTGAAGGAGCCTGACTGTGGCCGGCTGTCCTCTGGAAGAACAGGCCGGACCATTGTGTTGCATTGCTTGAGGCAGCTTGTGGCTCTTGTGGCCAGGTCTGAAGTGGTAGGGCCCACCAAGTCCCATCCTAAACCCTAAACGCTAAACCCTAAACCCTAAACCCTAAACCCTAAACCCTAAACCCTAAACGCGCTATTCCAGAGCCTGGTTTCAGCATGAGCCTGAGGTTTTCAAAGTAGAATGGACGGTGTGACCTGCGTACCAAAATCATGTCCGCTCAGCCTTAATAACATTAAGCTTAGTAGCCTGTAAGTTCTGCTATGTTCAACTGGGAGTTCTATATAAGCATCACAAGCCAAGCTAAAGAGGGACAACAGAGATTGACGGTTTCTGATAAAGTGCACGGGGCTGTTGCCAGGATGGTGTAAATATGCGCCTGGAGATTCTCATCTTCCAGTGCCAGCTCCAGACATTGAACGGTGAGGAGGCAGCCTGACCCTAAACCCTAAACCCTAAACCCTAAACCCTAAATTAAACCCACCTTGGAAACCACTCTTTGGCTGTTTGTCTTGGGAGACGCAGAAGAAATCCACCGAGAGGTGGTAAATATGGGCTAGGGGTGCATGCTTGTCAGAACCCATCAGAACCCTGAAACATAAACCAAGAGGGATGATGCGACCCCGAAGCCCTGAATCCACAACCCAACACCCGGAGGACAAATCCGAGAACCATCTTATCCATAGGCTTTCTTCACATTCAAAAGGCGGGAGCGGTTCCTTCATCTGTTGGAACAAAAGCAAAAGGGGCCTTCTGTTTCGCTGTAAGGACAGCAGGACTTCTGGACTACCAAAGGCCAAGTCAAAGAGATCTTGTTTTTCTTATACACAGGAGTAGGGCGACTCTCTCGTTGATTAAGAAAGCAAGCTGCATCGGAAGTCTAGCGGTCGAGCTTCTTCCAGATCGCCAACACGATCTCGGAATTTGGAGAACTCTTCTGTTTCTCATCATCATGGTAAATGAGCGCTCTCATGCGTAAAGAAAAGAGGAAACAAGAGGGCCATCTAGATTTTCTAGTGCGATGAGTCTGTTCTCATGTTGACCTACAAACAACTGATTCTGCTATGTCTTTCTCTTGTCCATTTCATTATTCAGAAGGGCTCTCCCTGTTTTCAGCGTTCATTCATCTCTCGCAGCGAAGGGGAGTCGTTTACAGTCTTTCATTCCTTATCCAGGTCAGAAAACGCGTTTAGTTTCTTATCAAAAGTAGTAGAGGATTCTGAGACAGAGGGCGCAGTCCAGCGAGAGTTGAATCTTCAACTTTTTGCGCTAACGTGGCATGACACGACTTGCAAATCTGGGCACAGACACCACATGCTGCAGGGAATGGGGGAATGAGGTACCCTATTTTATCCCTTAAAGGGACAATATAGGGGATTACAGGGCACCTTATTCCCCCTAAATCCTAAACCCTGAACCCTGAACCCTAAACCCCTACTAACCAACAGTAAGCTCACAGGTGACGCCAGAAGAGAAGGAGGAGGCGAAGGCGCTCCACGAAAAGAGGCTGGAAGAAGAGGCGGGACTTCGGCCAACCCCAGCCCTCCAGAAGTTCGTTAGGGTTTAGGGTTTAGGGTTTAGGGTTTAGGGTTTAGGGGTTAGGGGTTAGGGGTTAGGGGTTAGGGGTTAGGGGTTAGGGGTTAGGGGTTAGGGGTTAGGGGTTTAGGGTGTTTCTAGTATTCTTGCACGTGCTCTCAGGCCTTGTGTTTGTGGGTATTGAGGCCCAAGGCACCCGGCATGTTGGCCAGGCAGAAAGACTTCGCCAGGAGGAGGAGGCTCTGGCAAGAAGAGCAACCCTAAGCCCTAAACCCTAAACCCTAAACCCCTAAACCCCTAATTAAACCCCTAAACCCAGAGCTTCTTCCGAGATACAGCGGGCCTTGTGGTGTTTCAAAGTCGTAGCAGCTACGTCGCAGCAGCAGATATGGCCCAGCGTGACGTTGTCGCTTAAAGATTCAAGAAGTGTTCCTCTTCTCATCGTGGGATAGTGGGGAGAATTTGTTGGCTGATGTGGGGGTTATACTGGTGGTGGGTAATTGGGGGGGGGGGGGGGAACCCTAAACCCTAAACCCTAAACCCTAAACCCTCGTAGTGTCTGCGAAGGCAAGGCTTGCGGCTGAAGCCGCTGCAGCCGAAGCGGCCCTGCAAGAAGGCAACTGGGGGTTCAGGGCCTGTCTAGGGCACAGATAACAGCAGCCCTAAACCCTAAACCCTAAACCCTAAACCCTAAACCCTAAACCCTAAACCCTAAACCCTAAACCCTAAACCCTAAACCCTAAACCCTAAACCCTAAACCCTAAACCCTAAACCCTAAGCCGTGGGGTGAGATGATGTGAGATCTGTCACCTGCAGTTTAAACAAATGTTCGTGCATGCTGGACTGGAGAAGGTGCAGAAATGGGTATTGCTTCGGTGAGAAACATCCCACGTACTCTCTGGACTGCTCACCTGGCTCAGCTTTCCTGGAGTGCAGAAAGCACATGAAGTAGCATCATCACTCATGCCTTTTGATCCCTATCGGGCATACACCGATACTATTCTTGAGCTGACAGTCAAGAGCCAGAACGTTCTTCAACATTGTCTTGCCTAGCTGGATGGTGCCTGGTCCTTTGTAGCGTCAGCAGCAAGTAGAGGGACGGACGGAGCCAGGCATGAGATCAACACTCACTGGTGCTCATGTGACATGCAATGCAAACTAAAGCCGACAAACCAAGAATTGAGTAACATGACAGTACTCCCGATCCCGTTTGCGGGATAGACGATCCAGGCAAAGGTAAGCCAAGTGGGGCTTAAGTTGGTTTGGCTTCTCTCCCGGAAACTGGAGCCTTGATGCGTCTTGATGTGGACCGCGTGGAGCTGTGCCGCGTGCTGAACTCCTGACCATGGCCGCTCTGCTTTTCACTGGTCTTGTAATTTTACGGGCAAAAATGGCACTCAGTACCAGTAGTGGAGCCGGGCGCAGTGGCCAGGGTTAAAATGGGGCTCACAAGGCATCCGTCGACTTCGAGGGCTACCAACGCGCCTGGCGCCTGCGTCATAGCTCTGCAGATGACGAGCTGATGCGTCAGGCACGCTCTGAGATTTCGGGAGGTGACGGGGGGGGGGGGGGGGGGGTGCGCTCAGGCCTCCCAAGGCCATATGGACAATGTGTTAAAGAATTCTAAGCTGTTCCAGTATTGTTGGGGCACAACACTCACAACTACTCACAACACTCACAACACAACGGCTTTGTCCAAACAGGACAATCACGAAAGCGGAGGCACTAGTAGAGGGGCAGGGCACGGCTGGAACTCAAGAAGCATCGAGCTTTTTTTGTATTTTCTTGACATCTTTTTCGGGGTTCACCCCCTTGCCTCCCCCCCCCCCCCCCCCCCCCCCCCCCCCCCCCCCCCCCCCGCCCGCAAACCTCAGTCTTCAGCCCAACACACCTCGACTGCAAAGCCGAATCTGAAAGCCTATTGGCTCTCAACCTACGCAGAACAAACCGAATCCTTGGAAACCCTAAACCTGAAACCATAAACCGATGACAACTTGAAATCAGATATCTCAAAACATAACTTGACATTAGTCCTTGTGCGTCCTTGAGTCCTTGCACGTGCACGGTCCCGTGCCAAACTGCTTGCTTGAATTGGCCGTTCATTACAGGGGTGACAGCAGGATGCTGGATAGGGAAACAACAACATCAAGCAGCCCCTCTACTTTAGTTCAAAGGTTTTCAACCTGCCTTCGCACCCGTGCGGACTTGTCAAAGAGCTCGAAATGGCTAGGCGTGCTTGCACACACCTTGCCCGCAACTTGAGAGAAATCGCTGCCTGGTCTGTGCTATGCCTCCGCATTCAAAAGATTTCGAAAGGTTCGGAGCAAGGTGCGTTTTGAATGGTACGAGCAATCATAGATACTGTGGAAGTAGAAGATTTTGGGAAGACCTTGCACGGCACCTTCCAGGGCGCTTGCAGAGATCTTTCGTGCTGAGATTCTCGCACACGTCATCATCTTATGATCAGCGCCGGCGAAGACCAAGACAAGGGGCGAGAGACCGACTTCGAAGCCCAAGCCATGCTGTGCTGGTAGGTTGAAGATGCTGTGGTCACATGCCTGTGGCTGAATGTTAGAAACTAACAGTTAGCTCATGTAAAAGCAAGAACGTGACCCCACTGTGCCGTTGAAGCAAGACAGTCCGCGCATGTCCCCCCACACACACATGACATACTTCTTAAGCGTTGCACCTTTTACAAGCACCACGATTGAAACCGCTGCAACCGTAAGATGGAAGATTTCGATGACCCCATGCCCAGCAAGCGACAAAAGTCCAAAAGTGAAAGGGTACCTTGAGCATTTCGGAAATAGCAGGTTATTGCTTGCAGTTGAGACGAGAGCTGGGATCAGCTGCGTGTTGAGATGGTACCGCTGCCCAGGCAGGTTTCGAGGTTCCCTAAGTCTGTCCAGGTTTTTGGTGAAGAGCTCGGCGAGCTTCAAAAGCAGCTCGGACATTGAAGAACCCTCACGCGCTTAGGGTTTAGGGTTTAGGGTTTAGGGTTTAGGGTTTAGGATTGAGTTGTGAGTATTTTCAATCTGGCCGAGGAAGGGCACCCAGCTGCTGGATGTCGCCAGATCGTACTTTCCGCACCTCACCTCGTCCACGCAGCTTGTCCTCAATACCAGCATCTATCTATCTTTCTGTTGGTTAGCAGGGAATGGGAGAATGAGGTACCCTATAAAATCCCTTAAAGGTTTTTATAGAGGGATATAGGGTACCTCATTCCCCCATCTCCTACTATCTAAAAGTAAGCTATTTGGCTTGCCTTGCCGGCTTAGGTATGAGGCATTGGCACGGGAGCCTGACACCTTGCGCCTTGAGAAGGACTGTCGATATGATATGCGTCTGGCCAGTTTTCCGAGGTTTTGAAGTACGTTGGCTACAGAAATGCTTGCTCAAAGTCCTGAGGACCGTTGCGAACGAGAAATGGAACAACTCGCCGTGCAGAACTACAGTGCCTTCATCGGCAGTGCTGAGGTCACTCGTGGCGTACGGCAGGAGACCCGGAGAGGGATAGCGTGAATGCATGAAGCATGTGTTCAGGGACTAAAAGCTGGGACACTTATAATGGACCTTTGGAGTTATTTATAGTCGTTATATAGGGGAATATGATTCAGGGTCCCTTCTGGAGGGGCCCCTCCTTATGCCCTAGACCCGAAACCCCTAGACCCGAAACCCTAAGGCCGAAACTCTAAACCCGAAACCCTAAACCCTAAACCCTAAACCCTGCATGGTGCGGCCACTTGCCCGTGGGGGCGCCGCCTCCAGGAGCTGTCCAGTATCCACACGGAACTGCAGGAGCCGAGGCCTAAGCCGTGACAAGGTGCTGGGCTCCCTAAACCCTAAACCGTAAACCCTACACCCTACAACCTAAACCCTAAACCCTAAACCCTAAACCCCAAAACCTAAACCCTAAACCCTAAACCCTAGCCCTAAACCCTAAACCCTTACTTCAATCCCTTTCCAAGGATGGCCGAGCTCTTGGAGCCCACCCAGGACCGAGATGTGCTGAGTCTGAAAGGGTAAAAACATTTGGGGGTTTAGGAGAATAGGGGTTTAGGGTTTAGGGTTTTGGGTTTGGGGTTTAGGGTTTAGAGATAGTTCGGGTTGAGGGTCAAGGGTTTAGGGGGGACCCCCAATATAGACCCCCCCCAAATCCTTGTATTCAGGACCCCAATAAGGTACCCCTAACATCGTAAACCCCCCATTTTGGGGTTGAGGTCGATGCCACAGATCCAATTACTTTGCAAGAACTCCACGAAGCGTACGCAGAAGCGATGCCATACACAAGAGAGTAGAGCGCTGCCCGAACACAGCACAAAGTTGCGTAGAAGTTCTGTGTGCTTGGGTCCTCAGGAGACGATCTCACGCTTGAAAGACACAGCATCAGGCTGTCAACTTAGTGTTGCACAGTCTCGGCAGTTCCGGCAGTCTTGCTCTCAAGATACCCTCCACATCCACTTGGCAAGTGCGTTTGGAACAGATTCAGACGGATCAATGCCGTGCTGCTACAGTCTGCAGGCCTCGGCGCGCGCCGGGCCGCTTTGCGGAATGTGTTGCTCGGCTTTTGTTGAGCAGAAGCAAAGCATGGCAAGTCGCAGCGACCAGCAAAGCCACAAAAAGTCTGAGGAGTTAGCAGAAAGCCCAGAAAAGCTCAGAGACTGCTGGATCATGTTCCCTTGTGTTCCCGCATTCCAGGCTGGCGCAACATGGAGCCCTGCTCGAGCTCCTGGAGCTGCCTCAGCTGCAACGCGGCGGGAGATTCATCTTCATCATGGTGAAACAAGCAGAAGAGGAGACATGTTGATGTGGAGCTTTTGGTCTCAGTGCCTCTTAGTGTGCGATTTCGGCGGCGGGTCCGGGTCATGTCCTCAATTGTGACTGACATTTGGACCTGAATGGCTGGTCAGTCCACGTTGAAAGGCTTGAAGATCTGAAGCCTAAACCCTACGGGTTTAGATCCTTAACAAGCACCCCCAAGAATGCCCTTAAGCCTGAGCACGAGTCCTCTCGCGTCGCTTCACAAGCCACAAGGCTGGATGCGTGCGTTCGGAATCAGATGTACGAAGAGTCCTTGGAGCTTCTGGTGGCTTCGCCTGCAAGTAAAGTGAGCAGAATTCCCAGAAGTCGAAAGAGTCCTAGAAGAGTCCTTTCCTTTTGGTAAAAGATGTTGGTGGGTGTTCGTGTGGTCTCGCGAAAGATTCATGCCGCCGCCAAGGCGTTTTGCAACAGCTTGCTGCAAGCGCATGAAGCTCGCGGGGAGGACATCATCATCATCATCATCATCATCATCATCATCATCATCATCATCATCGTTATTGTTATGATTGTAATTATTGTCATTATTGTTATTATTGTCATTATTGTTATTATTGTCATTCTTGATATTATTGTTATTATTGTTATTATTGTTATTATTGTTATTATTGTTAGTATTGTTATTATTGTTATTATTGTTATTATTGTTATTATTGTTATTATTGTTATTATTGTCATTATTGTTATTATTGTTATTCTTGTTATTCTTTTTATTATTGTTATTATTGTTATTATTGTGGGAGGACATCAACGTTCTGACGCACATCAAGGATCAGGCTGTGGTGGGACACATCTGCCCCCCGGGTGATCCCAAAAGCAGCCCGTGCCCTTGGCAGAAGGCCCCCTGGTTCTTAGTAGGGAATGAGGGAATGAGGGCCCTATATATACCCTTTAAGGGATTATGGGAATGAGGGCCCGATATCTACCCTTTAAGGGATTATGTAGGGCCCTGATTCCCTCATTCCCCTACCAAGAACCAGCCAGAAGAAGGCCAACATGATCAGCATCATGCAGGTGGCGGTACAAAAGACCAACCTCCGCGATTCCCTAGCAGCACAGCTCAAGACTGTGCCCCTGCAGCAGTTTAGTGTTTAGGGTTTAGTGTTTAGGGTTTGGGGTTTGGGATTTGGGGTTTAGGGTTGATGTACGGCACCTCCTCTCGCATGTCAGTTTCCAGTTGAGGCCCTCAAGTAAAGGGTGCCAAGCCAGGCATACAGTGCAAAAGCTTCATAATATCAGCATTCAAGAGCCTATTGAAAACCTGCAGCAAGGATATTCACCTCCCCGCGTGCGTGCGCATTGTGGGCTTCCTGCGGCGTGTGCAGCGCCATTCAGAGGACTGTCTCTGCAATTTTTCTTGGTGTGTTTTGGAAGGAGATGCTATGTTGGTGGGGAATCGTGATCAACGTGGGCCAAGTCCGTTGAGTTCGGGAGATAAAACAAATGAGGTCCTTGTTGAACTGAATACAGGAGCAAGAAATTCTGGAATGTCACCAGTCCAAACAATGACATCGCCATTGTTTACTGTACTTGTGCAGAAAGTGCCGCGCCTTACGTTTCTTACGTTTTGGGCTTCAACCTGCACTGCCCCAACAGAGTGGGGAGCCCCTGACTTCTAGGCATTAAGGCGCGGCTCGCGCAGCTTGTGGGGGTGTACGAAATTGGGGACGAAATAGTGGGATCCCCTGATTATAAGGACCCCAAAAAGATACCCCTAACATCGTCAACCCCCATGTGAAAGCCATTGCAACCCAAAACCGGACCAGACGACCGCATGCGACCACGCAAAGCGTGCTCGTTTCTGTTCGCATATTCTTTCTATTATTTTCCAGACGCAGGGCCATTGGCTTAAACGTGCTCATGCTTAATCTTGAGCATCATGGGCATCTTCTGGAAAGGCAGCTTAGTACCAGCAGCAGGGCATCTTCCAGAATCCGCGTCGGTGAAGAGCCCAGCAGCCCCGATTGCTCTGCAAGAGGTCAGCAAGCCTTGCGTTGATGCCTTCTGATCCCTGAGCTGAGCGGGGAGCACCCTTGACCTCTCATCCTCAGATCTCCGAACACAGCACGAGGCGGCAGAGGCTGCTGGTACTAGATTTGGGTGGCCTTGGTGCTCGATACCCGCTACCAAAAGCAATCCCTGATGTGAGACCACGGACAGTAGTGAGAGTCGCCCTGCAGCGCGCCTGGAGCAAGGCAGGGACCAGCCCGAAGACAGGGAGCCCGGAAACCTTTGACGTTGAAAATGTGGGTGCCCGCGCCTTAAAAACTGACCTCGACAAAAGATGGCTGCCTCGTGGTCCCAATCGGACGCAGCCCTGCTGCTTCCTCGCTGCTTCCTCGCTCCATCAACAGCCGGCTCAATCCAGTCAGCGAAGTTCCTGTACTCCTCCAAAGCCGGCCTGTCGGCCTGTTAGGTTTGAGAGCCTTTCGCTGTGACATTCGCAGACTGCAAGTGGCTGTTCCCTGCACTCTGTGCTGAATATTCTCCACAACCGTATTCAAAGCCACGATCAAACCGTTTTAAGCGCACTTTCAGCAGGAAGCTAGAAGATCCTCCAAACCATACTCCAAACAACGGTCAAACATCACCCAAAACCATACTCAAACTAAGTGGGCGTCAGAGGTTCTAGGTGGCGTATGAGTGAGTTCAGACAACCCGGAGGGACACAGGACGGGTGTGGGAGGCATTCGAAATATTCGCCTCGCCGTCTCTCGCAGTGGTGAAATGTCGGAGAGGGTCGGCACTGACATGTTAGATGCAATGATTGTATGATACAGGTAACAGACTGAGCTGAGAACCTGCACGTTCAGCTTGGTTCTTTCAGCCACGCATGCTCACACACTTCGGAGGAAGAGCTGCGCGAGCTCTTCATTCAGTGCTCCAGCATATATTGGGGTCCTTCTTATAAAAGGGATCCTACTATTTGGGGTCCCCTTTTTTTCGTAAACCCCCATCTTAATTTCTTGTTGAAAGCGGTGACAGTTGGACTCCAAGGCATCGCAGCAAGTTTCTGGATACCCACAAGCAGCAAGTGGAACTCCTGCGCCACAGCCGTGGCAGTGCGAGACTCTCAGCAATTAGATGAGGGAGCTCTGTGATGCGGCGAGTTTGAAAACGCTTGCTCGAGACATTTCTGTACAGTTTAACAGTTTCTGCCACAGGTGGGGACAGCTCTGCGCAATGCGGCAGACCTTCTGCGAACGTATCTTGGGTCATTAATGGTTCTTACCTTGAGTTCCTTGCTCCTGGCTGGCCATTTTATCCTATTGACATTTCGCGAAGCAAAGCACAAGTTGTAATGAGGTTGGGGAATAGCAGAAAGTAGGAGTTTAAATGAAGAGAATGGAAAGATAAGAATTAGATGGAGATATATATATATATGGGTCACCGCCTATAGCGGTTCCCCTGTGTTTTTTTGCACATTCCCTTAAACCATCTAACCAAGAATCCCTCAAACCATTAAACCAATGGTCTCCCCCTAAACCATTAAACCATTAAACCATACCATTAAACCATTAAACCAATGGTTTCCCCCTTCTGAAAATCCCCTAAACCATTAAACCATTAAACCATTAAACCAATGGTTTCCCCCTTATGAAAATCCCCTAAACCATTAAACCATTAAACCAATGGTTTCCCCCACATGAGAATCCCCTAAACCATTAAACCATTAAACCATTAAACCATTAAACCATTAAACCAATGGTTTCCCCCTTATGAAAATCCCCTAAACCATTAAACCATTAAACCATTAAACCAATGGTTTCCCCCATATGAGAATCCCCTAAACCATTAAACCATTTTTTTGGCGGGCAACCATTGGTTTAATGGTTTAATGGTTTAATGGCTTAATGGCTTAATGGTTTAAGGGATTTTCATAAGGGGGAAACCATTGGTTTAATGGTTTAATGGTTTAATGGTTTAGGGGATTTTCATAAGGGGGAAACCATTGGTTTAATGGTTTAATGGTTTATTGGTTTAATGGTTTGATGGTTTAATGGTGCTCCTGCCGAGGTACCTCGACCGCATCTTTTCTGCTCCTAAACTTCTGATTCGCAAGCAGTGTCCCCTGTATCCTTTCTGCTCCGAATATTCTGAATCGCAAGCAGTGTCTCCCGTATCTTTTCTGCTCAGAAGTATACGTATACTATATGGGATTGCGCCTTAAACCCTAATTCTTAAACTTTAACTCTATAGGGCTTAAAGCTTCGGGTTTAGGTTGAATTGCCGGCTTAGGTTTAAGTGCCTCAATCATAAACCCTAAACCTGTCAACCTTAACCCTCTAGGGTTGGGGCGCCTACATCATGATCGGATTTGACGAGCTCTGCGGAAATTTCTATATGACAAGGTTATAACTTATTGCTGTGGTTATAACTATGGGTTAGGGTTTGATTTTTATACACTTATGTAAACCCATAAGAATAAGGGGAGCCCCATCACGCCCCCAACAAGCGAAATATCCCAAATACTTTACCTTAGCTAAAATATCTCAAGCAACCATCCCCCGATACGCAATTCCTGAATTCTATCATTTAACGATATAGTTTGTGTATATGTTGAATCCCAGCAAGTAGTGAAAGTGACGAGCTCTGCGGATATATGTACATGACAAGGTTATAACTTTTTGCTGCGGTTATTACTATGGTTCAGGATTTGATTGATATACATGTAAATTAGCCTATAAGAAAATGAGGGTAACGGTAACCCCATCACGCCCCAAAAAGCAAAACAAAACCTCTATCCTAAAATCTTTACCTTACCTAAGATAGCTCAAGCAAAACAAAAACTCTATCCTAAAATCTTTACCTTACCTAAGATAGCTCAAGCAACCATCCCCCGATAAGCAAAACTTGAATTATCCTCTTTGTTTATATTTTGAATCCCATGAAGTAGTGGAAGGACATTTGCTCACAGTATTCTCGCGTCACCGGGACGAAAGCGCCACAAACGTAGGCATAACCCTATGGGATTCAAGGTTTGGGGATTTGAGCCCCGCGCTCTGGGGTTTTAAGGTTCCATTGTATAGGTAATTAATGCCCAAACCTTAAACCTAAACCGTTAAACCCTATAGGGTTCAATGGTTCGACAACCTAAGGTCTGGGCATGTATACCTTCAGTACCCTTTAGGGTTAAAATCTTTGAACCTTTGGGAGCCCTATAGGGTTTTACGGTTCTGACCCTAAACGAATCAGGGTTAAGGTCTGAATGCCCGAACTTCAAACACTTAAGATTGAAACTTTTCGAGTTTTCGTTTTAAATGCCTAAATCCTAAACCCCAACCCCTTAAACCTTAACTCTATAGGGTTTAAAGATTCGGGTTTAGGTTGAATTGCCGGCTTAGGTTTAAATGCCTCAATCTTCAACCCTAAACCTGTCAACCTTAACCCTCTAGGGTTGGGGCGCCTACATCATGATCGGATTTGACGAGCTCTGCGGAAATTTCTTTATGACAAGGTTATAACTTCCTGCTGTGGTTATAACTATGGTTCAGGGTTTGATTTATAGACATGTAAATAGCCTATAAGAACATGAGGGTAACCCCATCACGCCCCAAAAAGCAAAACAAAACCTCTTTCCTAAAATCCTTACCTTACCTAAGATAGCTCAAGCAACCATCCCCCGATAAGCAAAACCTGAATTCTATCATATAACGATATGGTTTGTTTATATTTTGAATCCCAGGAAGTAGTGAAAAGGACATTTGCTCACAGTATTCTCGCGTCACCGGGAAGAAAGCCCTACAAACGTAGGCAGAGCCCTATGGGATTCAAGGTTTAGGGATCTCAGCCCCAAGCCCTATAGGGCTTTAAGGTTCTATCGTACAGGTAATGCCTAAACCTTAAACCCTAAGCCTTTAAACCCTGTAGGGTTGAATGGTTCAAGAAAACCTAAGGTCTGGGCATGTATACCTTCAGCACCCTTTAGGGTCAAAACCTTTGTTCCTTGTAGAGCCCTGTCGGGCTTTCGGGTTCTGACCCTAAACGGTTCAGGGTTAAGGTTTAGCTGCCCGAACTTTCAACCCTTAAGGTTAAATCTCTATGGGTTTAGGTTTAAAGTTTAAAAATACCTAAATCTTAAACCCTAACCGCTTAACCTTAACTCTATCGGGTTGAACGGTTAGGGTTTAGGTTTCATTGCGGGCTGACGTTTAAATGCCTGAATCTTAAGCCCTAAACCTGTCAAACTTAACCCTATAGGTTTGGGGTACCTACATCATCATCGACTTGTTGCTGTGGTTATAACGATGGTTTAGGGTTAAAATATATACATTTATGTAAACCTAAAAAAAATAGGGGAACCCCCATAGGCGGACGCCCATATATATATAGAGAAAGACGTTTCTTGTGATGTTTGTTTCTACTTCACTTGGGTGTGGGCGCAGCTGAGATCAACCACTTGAATTTGTCCTTCAATTCTGTTCATTTCGTTCGTCCTTATTATACACAAGAACGAAGCAAACGTGACGATGTTCACAGCTTCTCTAAGACCTAATTCTAAAAAAGCATGAATCACTGAGTCTAGTGAACGCTCCCAGCATCACGGAACCATGCAGTATTCCTGAGCGGATCAATACAGAAGGCAATGCAAATGTAAGAACCAACAACCTGGTTTTAGGGTTTGGGGTTTAGGTTTTAGGGTTTAGGGTTCAGGGCTTGCTTGCTGTTCCTTTTCAGCTTTCGAACTTCGGACTGGCTACCGGACTGGAGGCATGTCTATGACATCGGCACGCAGTACAAGGCAGGAGTAGTTGTGGCAGATTTCTGCCTCCAGTTGCTTTTGGAGCAGCTTCCCAGTTCTGTCAGGCTCTTTTCCCGCAAGACGACGGCCCCCTCGGGACCTGGCTAAACAGCCAGGTCATGTGCCCCGCCTGGATTGAGTAGTTTTGAGGTTCAGAGCTTTCAGAGAAAGCACCGAGGTGGCTGATGACACTGCTACGCCACCACGTGATGCCTTCCTCGAGCACCGCTGCTCGCCCTTGCAGGCTTTTGCAGGAGAGGAACTGTACATGTCAGGCGCTGCGCATCCACTGGGGAACCTGGGAAACCCAGTAAAGCCTCCTTGACATGCATACTTGGAATACTCTCCAGGGTTAAAAAATGAGCTTCAACGTAGCAACAGTGTGCGGACTCTGCCTGACGCCAGCCAAGGGCAAGGGTTCCACAACATCGCTCAGCGCACCTTGGCCTTACCCGAAGTTGCTCTTTCCATGGGTTTGGGGTTTAGGGTTTAAGGTTTAGGGCTTCTTAAGTACACCTTGGTCTATCGGTTTTTGCAGAAAACTCATCGAGCTAGCTTGACTGTTGAAGCTGTTCCCCACCCGAGGTTGTCAGATTTTAAAGGCAAAGCCGTGCAGATGACGCGACGTGACATACTCCCGACCATACCATTCAGGATCAGAGGCAGACCGCATCCGTACTGGAATGTGGCTCCACTAAAAAGGCAAACAGGCGCGGGCGACAGTACCGGAACGTGGACCCCACAAGCAGAGGCTCAAGTGGGGGCCTATGCCGAAATGCGGCTCTTGATATGTTGGCCAGGGAGATGTGGCTCCAAATAAGCAAATCAGGCCGGCATGTGGCCTCATAGGCAGGCAAAGAAACTCAGGCAGGGGGCTGTACCGGAACCTTGCGGGCTCCGAATAAGCAGGGCAAGGAAGTCAGGGAGGCTCTTGACACTTAAGACAACCAGGACCCCAAAGTACACTCAAAACTTGCTCCATCGGACTTGACATCATTGCAGCTTTACGGACAGGGGGGGGATGTTCGAAGGGGTAATTTTCCTGGAAATATTTGGCAAGATCGCATTGTAGATTTCCTTGGAATTGTTGTAACGTTTTCGGTTGATGCGACTAGTTTTCGGTTGATGCGACTGGTATCTCGCCATCCTAAACCACAACCCGGAATCTCCACCCTAACTCCCAACCCCACCGCCCCCACCTGAAATGACCCTCCTCCCCCCCCCCTCTTTGCCGGTGCTGCCAGGCAAAGATTGACGCTGCGCAGCTGACAACTGTCCTTCGGCAGTGTGTCCACGCATCGTCGACGCTGAAGCGATTAGGCCATCCGGAAATCGGGGCAGGGTCCCGAGACAAAGCTCTAAAATCTCGCTGAACCATGGTGTGAGATCCGCTCCTGTTCAGCTTGTCTTCAGCTTTGACTTGGACAGCTTTCCCGAGCGCTGCTGACAGGGAGCGCAAAGCTTTCAGATCTTTCAGAAACCTGACAAAGCCTGCTCGAGTGACAGGCGGCCATTTCTTTCCAGCAGTGGCAGCGATCTTCGAGGCCTGTCGAGAGTCGCGTGTGGGCCTCTGTATGTTCATCCCCTTCCCATGAGAGCCAACATTATGGCTAGGAATCATGCTCAGAGCCTGGTTGTGGTGTTGGGGGGGGGGGGGGGGGGTGGGTGGGAAATCAACAAATTGATTTCTCCGCTGCTTCTGCATGCTTGGCTAAGTTTTACTGCCAGAAGCTGCTGAGGCATGGATCTGATTGGGGCGATCGCGCGATTAGGCTGCTAAAGTTCCGCGAAACTTGAGAGGAACTTCAATGCTCAGAAAGATGCATTTCCAGTACAAAACAGTTTAGATCAACTGCCAAATGTATTACAGTATTTTTCTGATGAGGGAGTGCCCGGTCCACTCTTCCCAATCATGCTACCCCCGCCCCCTCCCCCCCCCCCGCCTTGGTGTGGTCGTCCTTCCTGTGGCGGGGTTGGGGGTTGGGGCTAAGTTAAGGTTTAGGGTTTCAGGTTTAGGGTTCGCGGTGTCTAAACCCTAAACGCTAAACCCTAAACCCCGTGCAGAATCTGCAGGGCTAATTTTTCTATTGTCAAACCAGATGTTAACCCAGGCCCCAGGAACCAAGAACCAAGATTTCAGGAAATATCATTCGGACCTTTGACCAACAGAATTGGAGGTCAACTGTTCAAGTTAAGTTGATTGATTAAATGGCCAAGAATTTTGTGAGACAGTGAAGGGCAGCTACTGTGTTGGCCCAACAGGTCCACACAACAATAGTAGAACAAAGGTCGAGCATTTTGTTTCTTTACATAGGCTAGTTTTAAATGTAAGACGATCTCATTTATGAAGTGAACAATGGGACTTATCGGGCGATACGCTTACAAATGAGATGTCAGTTCCCGCAAGTATGAATGCAAACATGGGCATTGGGTTGACTCATTTAACTAGATGTCAACTTGATTTCTGCAATACGGTCTACGATCTAAAAGATCGGGAATGTTGGATGCCCAACCCTAAGTTAAAACCCCACCCGAAGTTAAAACGTGCATAGAATCCGGAGAATTTGTTTCAGGCAAGTGCAGGTCAAGTAGAACTGAAAATTGATATTGTGCGCATGGCCGTGGGACAAACAGCACGTTCGAATCAGCAGCTAGTTGGTTGCTAATGTTTTGTGCTTGTGCTATCTACATTCACCGAACTGACTTCAAACTATGTTAGTCAGAGCAGATACGCTACGTACCACTTGAACGAAGTGTCAGGAGCGTGTTTGCTATCGAAGCTTTAGACAAGAATAAGTCCAGAGCCTGGGTCTTTGGGAGCGGGGTGGCGGGCAAGCATATATGTACATATATATATATATATACATATGTGTGTGAAAAAGAAGTAAACACACATATGTGTTTAGGTGAACAGCCCGCGACAGAGCACGACTTCTGGAACGTGGGATGCTTGAGCTGAACCCTAAACCCTAAACCCTAAACCCATCAAGTCCAGGCGCGCATGGAGCACTACTCCCGGGAGATGCTGGACAGCGCTCTGCTCACTTTCCATGCCGAGCTCGGGCGTTACGACTGGGTGCCTTCCACAGCGCTAGGCAGGACAGTGAGAGCCTGAACTGGAAACTGCACAAACCATGAGGGCTTTCCGGTATACAAGGTTTTGGTATCAGTTAAAAATTGGAGACAACTTAAATCAGTTTAATATGAATATCAATAAGGGAGATATTAGTCAATAAGAGACATGTGTAAAAATCATTGCAAAGCCTATGTGCCGGCCACTGCAAAGCTTGTGGCGCAGGTGGCAGCGAAGCGTCCGGCTGGCTGCACCCGCAGGTTCGGGATGCAGGATGCTAGATGAGGGCACAACTTTGAGGGCTCGGACTCAGGATGCACCAAGAACTCTGCACAGTAGCTGTAGTGAAGTCGACCAGCGTCGAAACCGTTTTCACACCACGATCACTCTTGCTACGTCTCTTCTTGAACATTTGCATCGCTTGCAAATGTAGCTGGTTGGGTCTTGCATTGAGCACTACTTCCACAGCTGCGACACTCCCCTATTTACGCCATGTACGCTGGTCTTCAAGAGGCCTTGGAGCTGACTCGGCACCGACCTTTGGCCGTCCTGACCAACGACATTGTCCAGGCAACACAGCCGTAACATGCTCAGATGCATACAAAACCTCCCCTAAACCCCAAACCCTAAACCCTCTTCCGCTCTTGGCACGCCGCTGTGTAGGTTTTCAACGAACTCAGACAGTGTGCGCTGCATGGCCTGCGCGTGAGCGTTGTGACTCACTGCGCCACGGCGGCAAGGGGTGCACAGGTTGGTGTCAGCATCTCAGGCTATGTCTGAATCGTACATGACGTGTACCTACACTATGTACCTGCTTTTGCTTCACCAAGCATGTGCCGAGATATCGACAAGAACGAAGAAGTTGGAGATTCGATCAAACGGTCCTTGTGTTCCTGTTCTGCGCAACGCTTGGAAAACGTAAGGCGCAACATGTCCGCAAAAGCAAGCAAAGATGATCCACGAAGGTGTTGTCAACAGACTTGGGCTTGACATTTGGTTGTTTCCCAGCCCACAAGATGGTGGTTTCCCAAATTAGGGGTACCTTATTGGGGTCCTTATTACAAGGGAATCCTACCATGAAGGGTCTATTTTTTAGGGGTCCCCTACTTTCGTAAGCCCCCATATGAACCAGAATAACGCGAAAGATCCGCGGCAGACTCGTAGGACAGGTTCTTTTTCAAAGCCATGGCCCCAGTTTCAAGGTTTGGGGTGTAGGGTTTAAACCCTAAACCTTAAACCCTAAACCCTAAACCCTAAACCCTAAGGCCCAAATTCCATGAGCCCCAACTTAAACCCCAAGCCAAAAGCCCCACTGCTCTCGCCTCAACCCTTGAACCCACACTTTGCACTATATCGTAAGTCCTGCTCAAGACACCGTGAAAGTTCCAAAAAAAGGGAACGCAGTTTCGCGAAGAAACTCAATCTGGACGAAAGATTTGGATCAACCCTTTGATCCGTGAGCTGCAGGCTATGAGTGCTGCATGGCTTCCGTAAACTTACTCCGCTCAGTGCTGGCCTCACAAACCCTGCGGTCAGGCAGGGATGCGTTGCAACACTACTCTTTTTCTGCATCGCAGGCATCATGCAGCGATACACCCTGTCCAGACATGAAACCCCTGACACCAGGTTCGCCCAAGGCAGCTGAGTTTCACAAGCTCTGCAGACACTTTGCGGTGCCCTCAGTGACAACCAGCTTCCAATCGCGAAAGCTCCAAAAGCCCATGGATTCCAGGCCGATATCCTGGTGCCTTTGGTGGCTTCTCACCTCGAGGCCCTCTTCGGTAGCGCAGCCCGGTGGGGACCCCAGACAGGCTGACTTCTATAGAAATAAGTAATGTAAATATAAATATATATATATGTAGAGATTTTAGCATATATGTTTTGTTTATGCCTCACTTTTCAGTGAAGGGCGAGAGAGAGAGAGAGAGAGAGAGAGAGAGAGAGTTCAAAGGCTGGACAGCAGCACCATTGTGTCGTCGATGGTGCCGGACCTCATCCAAGCCGAAGTTGAGTACACGCTGCCTCCAGAGGTGCATGATGTGGGGTTTGCAGCGGAGAGGAAGTGCATGCTGGCCGTTTGCAGGCTCCAGAGCAAGCTGATGTGCAGGGTCCCCAGAGAAGCCGGAGTTTTGAGGGCGCAACGGCGTCGTGCATGAAATGAAGTTACCGGGAACGCCACAACAAGCACCACACATGATTCCCCTGAGGCCGTCAGTGGCAGTGGACGAGGCAAGCCCAAGTCCAGCCCCGGCGCAGCCCGAGGTGCCCACGGAGGCAAGTGGGAACGGAAGCCAGGAAGCCAGTGGCCTTGTGGGGTCAGATGTCAGAAGTTTTACAGTGTAGTCCTTCGGTAGGGAACAAGGGCAGCAGAGCGGGAGTCGAACTTACCAAGCAAGAACATAACAAGAAACAGAACCTCGATCTGGAGAATGTTGCTGGATAGGTGAGCGTTCAACAGAAGTTGAGGAGCAGAATGAAACATAGAGTAGAACGGATGTAGGAAGATGTAGGAAGTGTGCCCAAATGTGCCAAACAGTTCTTCCAATCCTAGGCTCAGACTTTCCATGTCTAAAGGGCTGCCCTCGGCAGGTGGCTGCGTGGAGCGAACCGAACGCGTAGGGGCACAGCTGGCACAGCTCGTGCTCGAAAAGACTCGGCAAGAGAGAGAGAGAGAGCTGGCTTTCGGAAAAGCCCTGGTTGCCCTAAACCCTAAACCTTCAACCCTAAATTAGGGTTGGTACAGTGGGCTAGACACGTCGCTGTCCAGGTTCAAGGTGGAGTCTACAGCTTTTGCAAGCGTCGTGTCACGGAATTCGGTGCGCATCTTGCCGCTCGTGTGTGTGCAATTACTTGCGGTCTTCTCAAGACTCCTTTGGGCATACGTGCATTCGTGCGCACGTCGCGATTGTTGCGCGCATTGGGCCCTCCTGTGTGCGGGTGAGTGTGAGTGTTCGCGCCCAGCTTCCGAAGATGTCAACTCCTGACAAGAACCAAGTGGTCTGCAACATGTGGCATTGTGTCATACGGTTGTAGATGCAGCAGAGATTGGGAATTGCTGCAGCATTGGGGCAGATAGGCACAGCATGAAAAGGTGCAAAGAGTCCGTACAATATGGATAACCCTTCGCAACAGGAAAGAATTTTTAGCACTGCCTTCAGCACACCAGCATACCTGCATGAAGCATCATTCGTACATCTTCTGCCCTTCACTTTCTCCTCTTGTAGCATCTACAGATACGTGCTGCGTGTCAGCATCTGCACACCGGATAGAACCAATGAGTGAGCCGGGGGCAGGTAGCCCTGTCAACCGTGCACGCGACAAAAGTGTGGCAGCCAGGTAGGTCTCGTTGTTATGTCGCAAGAATCGCAGCAGGTGACGGGCAAGCTGCTGACGAGTGAACTGCCAGACAGCACTTAGTTCCGTTGCATTTTGCCAGTGACATCCCACCGGCTTTCACCATTCACCCGTTCTCACAAGGCCACACTGTCCAGCACACATGCCCAGAGAGCCCAATACCCCTTAATTAAGGAATGTAGCTTACAAAAAGTAAAGGGATCCTTATTATGATTTAAGGAATCTTCCTTAATCAAGGGGTATTGGGCTCTTTGGGTGCTGCCACAGTCACCCTAGAAAAGCAACTTGCAATCGAAGCCGAGCAGATGGCTCCTTGACAACTGGTTGGCCCTACATGACATGACAATCACCACCTGGGCACATCTTGTGTCCACAATGCTGCTGGGAATCCAACGGCAAGTTTCACCAAACTAAGGTGCAATGACATGCCTTTGCAGCCGGAAAAAGAAGCGGCGACTGCCACCCTATGTATGGAAAAGCAAGTCTTGGAGCCATGGCACGAGCCTGTGCAGCAATTGCCAAATGCCGGATGGAAGGTCACAGGGGGGGGGGGGGGGGGGGGCAGCATTGGCGGTGCCGCACGTCAGAAGCCAGCAAATCAACAAGCGCAGCTCCGCCAGCACACCTTTTCAGACAAATTGAGAGAGGGTAGATTTGTGGGACTGGCGACACGTATACTTGCAGCATGTAACTGGCATGTCATTCCAATATGTTTCCCGGCGCTGGGCACATGGTCATTTTGCGACCCGGTGTGCATTTCAACACGGCGGTGACATACCACTGCATGAGAGATAAGCTGTGCAGACAGCCGAGGCATTCTTCGTTCACTATTTCCTTGTTGCAACTTGCCTGGGTGTCTATCAGGTTCAACTATGCTATGTCTGCAGGAGATTGCGTCAGTGGATGTGCTTTACAGTATCCAGGCAGTGGCACAAAGCTTGCCATTATCTGCGCTTGGGTTGATCCTGAATGTTGACTTGGATGCTCGGCATTGAGACCGGAAGTCCGCTACGGAATACTACTACTACTACTACTACTACTACTACTACTACTACTACTACTACTACTACTACTACTACTACTACTACTACTACTACTACTACTACTACTACTACTACTACTACTACTACTACTACTACTACTACTACTACTACTACTACTACTACTACTACTACTACTACTACTACTACTACTACTACTACTACTACTACTCATACTACTAAAGAATAACGTGCAGAAGCGGGTGCCATGGGAAACTTCGAAGCATCCTAACAGCTTGCGCAAATCTCAGGATGGCAGAGCCCATCCGGAGGAGGTGCACCGCAGTTCCTGCCACATATCTTTAATTTTATTCATATTATTAATATTAGTAGTGTTTTTAGTAGTATGAATATGATTAGTATTGTGAATATTATTAATAGGATTCATGTGATCAGTATAATTAGCACTGTACACCACTGGTGTCCCAGCTCGAGGTCAATGCCTTCTACGCCAACGCATTGCTCGTACCGGGCCTTGTAAGGCCGCTGCTAGGCAAGGCCCTCAGGATTCGCATTGAGCAAAAGCAGATGCACAGGCCTAAACCCTAAACCCTAAACCCTAAACCCTAAACCCTAAACCCTAAACCCTAAACCCTAAACCCTAAACCCTAACCCTAAACCCTAAACGGCAAAAGGTGCTTTGTCAGATGGGCTCCGACGGTGCAGTTGGGGTCGACGACCGGTGCTTGCCTTGTCCCCGGGACTCGAAATCTGATTGCCCACCTGGAGGTTTCCGAAATTTAGGGGTGCCTTATTGGGGCCCTTATCATAAGGGAATCCTACTATTTGTGGATTTCTATTAGGGGTCCCCTACTTTCGTAGGACTTCTGTAGAAGCATTCATTGAATGTATTCTTCATTGACTATATATTGGGGGTCCCCTATGTTTCGTAAACCCCCAGACCTGGACTTTGTATAGGGGGCCATATTGAGCGTATTCTTTTCATTGAGAACCACGGGCCCAGGTCGCAGTGCAATTGCTGTGGGCCGCGGCACTTTTCCAAGCTGCAGAGACCAGGCATCGGACAGAGGGGGCCCTAAACCCTAAACCCCCAAGCAAGAGGTCATTAATGTTTAAAAAAACCCTCAATTCTAATCATGACATTCGCGATTGCTACGGATCTTGGCCCGTCGCATGTAGGGGTTTACGATATTACGGGGTACCTTATTGGGGGTCCTTTACAAGGGCATTCTACTTTTTGGGGGTCTATACTAGGGGTCCTTCATTATCGTAAACCCCCCATGTGCACTATTGTTACAAGCGTCGGTATTGAGTTTAGGTTTTGAACAGAACGAAGCAGCAGTATGACATGAGATGGAATGGTTAAATGGGAGCGCAACAGTTCAGCTTGGATATGGCACATGTCACGAGCTCCCATAGGCTTCGTCCCCTCTTGGAGTCACTCTTCAAGGTTCACCCCTAAACCCTAAATCCTAAACCCTAAATCCTAAACCCTAAACCCTATAGAAAATAGATGCATTGCACACGGGTAGTTCCCAGACGCCAACCCCTTGATATGGTAACCATCAGAGTACCCAAAGAGCCCAATACCCCTTAATTAAGGAAGAGTCCTTAAGTCATAGTAAGGATCCCTTGATAATTTACCCAATACCCCTTAATTAAGGAATATTCCTTAAATCATAATAAGGATCCCTTGATAATCTAAGCTACATTCGTTAATTAAGGGGTATTGGGCTCTCTGGGTAACTCTCATTCTGTTCAATTTTCTTACAGCCGTGGAGGAGCCACCACCCCTTAATTCAAGAATATAGCTTAAATTACGAAGGATCCTTATTATGATTTAAGGAATATTCCTTAGTTAAGGGGTATTGCTCTTTTTTGGGCATGTTCTTCTTTTCTTCGTGAGGAGCGGACGTTTGCCGCGCAGCCCAATCCTGCTTAAACCGACAGCTTTGATCTGAACATGACACATGTTATGCTGAGCGTGAACTGCATGAAAATGATGTTGTTTTGCCGGCCCGTGGACTCACACAAAATAACTTTTCTCCCGTGTTGTCCAGTCTTGTCCCTCAATGAGTTGGGATTGAAATCACATGTTGCGGGCGGTATACGACAAATGGGAAACCCGCTCGGTGCTGGGGAAGCGCTAGCATAAGGGATCGACTAGGTACGTTGGTAACAGGCCTTTCGGCTTCGTCATCATGTCAGACGAAGTGTGATAGGGCAATTATCATCCACTTCAAATTGGCACGACCAATTGGCCCGACCTTTGTAACAACACCAGATTATCCCGCAGCAGTGCCGGAACAGTGTTTCTTGGTCTTACAATGTCTTGCAAGCAAAATTTGCAATCCGGTACTTCCAGAAATCTGTTTCGTTTTGCAGCGCAGCCATGTTCGGTGTGAATGCACCGACTGCTGCGCTCAGATGCATCGAGTGTGACTGCTGCTGCCCTAAACCCGAAACCCGAAACCCTAAACCTTCCTACATAGAAGTCCAAAGCCGAAACTCGCACATACAGTGGCCGGCTGCGACGAAGTTCTGATGCATGGCATGCTATACTTTTTGCATCTTTTTGCCAAGAGAACATGTCCAGAACAGGGGCTTCTGGGCTTAAACCCATGACGTGCGTTCATGTTCCATGGTGGCAAAATCAAGAGAGATGATGTTTCGTCCCTCTGACATTGCTGTATCAGGAGCATACACAGGTATTTTCAAGTAGGACAACCAGGCTTAGCCAAATGCTCCCAGTTGATGTACGTTTTCCCGGAATGATTCTGATCCAATTGATCCAAAGAAAGCTCAGTCGGGCCGACCGACTGAGGCGACAAACCGTAAAAGCAAGCAACACCAACACCAATACTGATGCTCGGACTGTCGCTGACTCATGCATGCGAGATTATAGGGCTTTGGCGTTTTGTTCCTATCAGCTGCCCTGCCACCATCCACACATCCGGATGACGTGAATCACTCACGTGCGTGTTGTTTGTAGCCGTAGGCGGACCCTTCGGCCCCCAGGAATCTTGTACAAATATATTTCGGGCCCCAACCTTCCAAGCCCACACTGGACACTCAAGCACGCTCCTGGCTTTGTTCTAATGTAAACCCTAAACCCTAAAACCCTAAACCCTGAACCCTAAACCCTAAACCCTGAACCCTGAACCCTAAACCCTACTCGCCTAGCTCTAGGCCCACCTCTTACCAGCCAACATCAAGAAAAACCCACGCGGCCCTCCGAGCTTCGAAATTCAACTTACTGTTGGT